CTCACTGGTGATGACTGTTGAGAACCGGCTGGTGTGGGCCCATCTCCATTGCTCAATTACCAATATCCAGAAACAGTGCCAACGAGGGACAAAAGCAACAGACATAGGTGAGTAAAACATGCATCAGAAGGTAAAACAATATGCTAAATGAGTGTTTAATGTAAAGCAAGTACTTTTGTACTATAAATTCTGATTTAGCACCCTTTATAATCCATCATTTGAAATTACTTTGTTTTCATCAGTAGAAGATCATTTTTATTAATGTCCTGTCTAGTAACACCGTCACATGAATGTATGATGGATATTAATATTGCTTTGATTTGTTCTGTTTCCTCCTTAGAGAGACTGGTGGTGGTAGCTGAACATTATGAAAAAAGTCTTGAAAATTTGCTGCAGGGCAGAAAGCCTGTGAGGTAATGTCTCCCCTTTAGGTGAATCTTTATTTTTTAAGATTAGCTAACTAAAGCACATGGGCATCCTGTGGCTTGCTTGTTTAATCGCATGCTAATGGGCATAAGAATACCTAGCAAACTGATAATGTTTGTATTTTAGTTATATTTTTGTATGTGTATACCTAAAGTGGACCTTTTAGTAACTTTACTAGTTTGCACGAATGAATCCCAGTATAATTTTTCAATAAGTTCCACCTTTTATCATTATAAACCTGACCTCTACTCCACTGACTTTGCTTAGGTTGAAATTATGTCATCAGTGTGCTGCAGGCAGGAGGAAGTAGTTGCCCAGTCATTTCTCCCCTAGTGATCAGGCTGCAATTGTAAATGTGTAGCCAGTCACAAGCTGAAATGCTACAGCAGGAGCTGACCTGTGTAAGACGTTGTGAACATTGTGAAGGCAAGAACTGAGCAGAAAAACAAGATTTACATGATTGCGTCTGAGCCAACATTTCAGTTCAGGAAGTAGATGCTGATCCTGGATTATGCCTGGGCAAAGATTGCATCATCCATCTAGGGACAAAGTGCATGCATAAATGCATAAAGGAATCTGGTGTCTTGTCTACTGTAATGAGTCTTCATACTGTTTTTGTCATGTAAAATTACAATTTTAGGGCAGTATTTTTTTTTGCTAGATCCTTAACAAACCATTTCATGGTTTCTAGCTTTCCTGGAGGATTACTATGTTAATATTGCTGAATTTCAGTCCCATTCACACTTGTACAATTACAAGGGGGCTCCCACTGTCCCTCTTGGATTAGTAATGTATCCTGTGCACGGGAGGCAGGTGAGGCAGAGCCTTACCTACGGTTATGCAGAAAAAGCTGTCAGCTCAAGTCTGAAGCTGACAGCTTTTTCTCTATTCAGAACGGCTTGTAACAGGTTACACAGCAGGGAAAGCCTTCTCGCTGTGTAACCTGTCATGGACGGAGAGCTGCCTGTTAATTACAGGCAGCGCTGCATCCGACTTTTGACAGGTAGTTAAGTTACACAGCACGGGCTTCCCCACTGCTTGTGTAACCTAACATGGTGAGGCAAGAGCTGTCACAGCCTCTACTCTGTGTTAGAGGCATGAGCTCTGTGGATGGCTTGGAGCAATAGCAAAGCGCCATTGGTCCAAGCTGTCCAATGAAAAAAAAGAAAAAAAACAGTGAGGACATCAATCTCGAAGACTCACCAGTGACAAGCAACACACAGCTTGGTTACCGAGCTGGAGGCGGAGCTTTGGCTGGACGCGGCGGAGCTTCGACGGGCTGGGTGATGCTCAATATTACAACTATACAACTATACAACTTTACAAATATAACAACTCAATATTATGTTTTCTATCATTCTATGTTTCTGTCATTATTAAGATTGAGATCATCTATATTAAGATATAGATTAAGATTGCTTATATAGATTGGCCTTTACAATGAATCATGGAAGCTGCATATTGACCGGCATTCCAAAAGAATATTTAATTTTCATTGGAACCATCCACGGTCTCGTCCATGCGTACTATCAGTTGTTCAGCAAAACATTGTCCCTATCGGTGCTGTCTCTTGTCACAACCAGGGGACCATACTCACTTGGACGGTGACTCTGGGGTTGTTGAGACTGAGATAAGACATCATGACAACAGAGGCTCAAGAGACAGATCAGAATGTCTGCACATTTGGCAAGGGTTTGATAGAGGCAAGGGTAGGGCCAAGTATTCACTAGAGCACCCCACAAGGGGAGCTGGGCTTTGTTGCATGAATGAAAGCTCCCAGGTTGCGTCCCTCTAACACACCCGTGCAGGCACAGTTGACTGAATACTGCAGAAGCTATAAGATTAGGGTTGCACAGATACTAAGTACAGTACTCGGTACAAGTACGAGAACATGTACCGATACTTTTGAGCTCCAAGACTAGACTAGAGAAAAATTCAAAAATTAGGAGGCAGCTGTCATTTGTAAGGAGCACACGGAGTTCCTGGGATTTCTACATCTCTGTTTTAATGTATGATTTTATTTTTATAAATATAAATAAAGGGATGCACCGATACCAGTTTTGCGAGTACGAGTACAGGTACTTGCCGAGTACTCACAAGTACGAGTACTGATACATTTTTGTTTATATTCATGTGACAGTTTTTCTAAAACAATACAGACTAATGATTTCAGGACAGTGGTGAAGTGCCAGAGCCAGGTCCCAGCTGCAACCGCTGCAACCCTGGTAGTTCTCATGAAAATGCCAAGTATCTGCACTGGTACCCGAAAAGTATCTGCACATCCCTATGGAAGATCACTAAAAAAATCACGTAGCAGTATCAAGAGTCACTTGGCACAAAATGGAGCAGGCTCACTAGGACAATGCAGGGCACACAAGTGCAGTGAATTTGGGGTTTACAGAGAATACACAGGTGCAGTGACGCAGGCCAAAAGAGACTGTAGCTCTCTTGGAGTTAGCTGTGCACACAAATGCAGGAAATCAGTGCACAAGGGTACAGGCATGCATGGAGTCTCTTGGAATAAACACAGGAACACACTAGGAACTCAGTGGAGATACTGGATACTGGAAACAGCAATGTAGGTAATAGAAACGGGTCACAAGGATCTTCAGGAAGCAAGATGCAAGCTTCAGGAGACGCAGGGGGTCTCCCTGTGTCTCCTGAGCAATGTGTCAACACATACAAGTGTGCTGACACATTCCTCAAATGCTGAGCAACACAAGACAGAGCAGATTGATAAACAGATAGATGAATGTCTGGATGTCTTTCCTTGAAGTCCTTCACAGTCCTGAACAGATCCCCTCCCCCTGTATTGCTTGCTCACCAAACGGAGGCATGCTAGTTGAAGACAGGGTTATATGGGGGCTGGCTTGATGTTTTTTTGTTTGCCAGTGGTCCTGCCTTCTGAGGGTGGCAGTATAACCCAACAGTTTAAGAATTTTTTCAATTCATGTGTGCTTCAATGGACTTAAAAAAAGTTCTAAAATCATATTTTTTCTACTATTGGACTATGTAAGGAAGGTTACACAGTCTGCAACTGTCCGGCAATGTATGACTTACCTTATAACAAAAAGTAAATTCATAGGTTATGAATGATCAAAATAAAAATTTGCTGCATTTGAAATCTAAGAGCTACACAAGGGAGCCTAAGGCTGGGTTCACACCTAGGCGTATCGTATATGCGCGTTTGTCACGTGTTTCGTGCCGTGCACTTTTCCCGCGATTCACGGTTAAAAAAACGCGCAACATACGCGCCTTTCCGAGGGCTACCTGGCTGTATCCCAATGTATATGCCCCAAAGAAGCTCCTGTACTTCTTTGGGCGTAGGGCATTTTGTAGCGCGTTCATATGGCCTGTAATACGCCCAGGTGTGAACCATACCCATAGGAAATATTTTGATTACGGTGTTTGAGCGTTTTGCAGAGCGTAGGCACGCGCTACAAAACGCCCAGGTGTGAATGGGGCCTATATCTAATCTGCCTAAGGCTCTGGCTATTATTTTTAGGGATGTTCAGATACCAAGTACCATACTTGGTACAAGTACATATACCTTTCCAGCTACTGCTGCAACCCTGGTAGTTCTCGTGAAAATGTCAAGTATCGGCACTGGTATCTGAACATCCCCACTAGTTTTATATAGAGTATAGAGAGTTGAACCCCTGGAGTCTCCAAGTAATGTCGGCAGCCAGTGGTTTATAAAATGCAGTTAGGTCCACCTACACCTGGAATTTCACATAGCATGACCTAATATAATCCATGTCCCACAAATGACCAAAAAAGGAAACATATATTCTACATTTTACCATATATTACCTTAGTTAGCAGGACTGAGATGGCAAGTTTGTTTAATGTCAAACTAATGTTATTCATTCTAGCATTGCTGGACCAAAGGTAGACAAAACAAAAGTCAACCATAGTTGTTCATACTTTTTGTGGGAAAGAAAATATTTCTGGCTAAAAGTGAGATTAAACACAGGAGTTAAATCTTAAAAATGCATTCAAGTATCTTACCTATTAACAAAAATGTAACTTATTTGTTGTAACGTAGCCAACGCTCCAAGCTCGCTCCCATGATGGACTGCAATGTTACATTTAGTTTACTAATTTGTATTAACACTGTATTCTATCACCGGAGCGAGCTTGGAGCGGTGGCTACTTTACAACACACACAGTGAGCATGGGGAACAAAAGTAGCCACCCTCCAGAACGAAGGACAGTGTCGGCACAAATTCAGAGATGATTTGAGAATCTACAGCTGAGTGATACACAAATAAGATACATTTTTGTTAAAAGTTAGAGTGCTTGAATGCATTTTTAAGACAACTCTTTAGTTTCGTGTCACTTTAATAGCAACTGCAGAAGTCCTTGGTCAATTTATCATAGTAATTATTGCTGTTACAATATATACACCTTGGTCTTTCTTTTTGACTTGGTAAATAAATTAGAGATAGTCAGTAGAATTAAAGTGAAAATCCAGGTTCCATTTGTTATTAAAGTTTAGACAATGTAGTGTAAATATAACACAAAATAACTATAATTTGTTATATACAGTGTATATTAATGATATATAAATCATACATTTGTATATATATATTATTTATACAAAATTAAATATATTTTCCTTCCATGACTCTAAATGGTCTTTTTATTATTCAGCTGCCATATGATATGACGATACAGCTTAATAAACCTCTGTTGTCACCCATCTCTGTCACTCAATCATGTCGTCATGATGCGGCCAGGTCATGGTAGATCCATCTGAAAGCAGGTTCAGATGGATCAATAAAGGATCCACCAAACCTGCAGCCCAGCATGATCCTTCTAAATTGAAGTCCCATTTACACCTTTGTGTTGTGTTAATGTGCAGTAAAATGCTCATTACTGCTAAGCATTATTACAGTAGTGGGCAATGCACCCTCATTGTAGCTCCCTGCCACACTCATGTTGTGGTGACGTGTTAAAAAAAGGTTGCATCTATTTTCAAATG